GCATTCTGATTTCATTTTTAAATACCTTCTCGCCTCCCCACTCCTTATATTGGGCCAAGTGCAATTGTGACTTAACCCGTTCCTGCAGCCAAAGACAGTATGAAATTACGGTAGAAGTGCTTTTTCTCAGTCAAACTAACATTTTCTAGGAGTAGGAAAGATTCTAGATAAACAGCCTGTATTCCTGGAATCTGATTTAAAAAAAAAACAACACACCAGAATTTTTGCTGTTTTCTTAGGGTTGGTGGTTTTGTGTTGGGTAGGGATCACAGGGTGAGGTCCAAACAACTGTGGAGGAACATTGGTCATTTTAAGATTTATGCATTCTCTTTATTAAAGAATGTTTTAAAATTTAGGAGGGCCTAAGGGAAGGCTGTTTGTGAAACATATAATTGATCTTAGAGTTTCTACTGCATTAAAGGATAGGAACTCTTATCACTAGAGCTTAACATTAGATTTTGACTGGGTGAAAGTTAGTACTTTTTTGTTACTTTCTAAAAAAGGAAAGATTGAGATACAGAATATACAATTACTTCATAATTTAACTTTTTTCCCAAATCTAGTATGCATACACAAGAGAACAAGATGTTTGGTGCCAAAGTGGATAAGGCCTTGGCAGCTAAATGAATAACAGGCAGTTTCCACCCACCAGCCATTTCACAAGAGAAAGAGACGACAACTTGCTTCCTCAGCCAAAGTGGGCTTTTCTGGTGGTTTCAGAGCCCTGCTCTTCAGTGTCCACAGCCACTGTGCCATTGTCATCGTTTTCAGGTGCCATCGAGTCCAGTACAACTCACAGAGACCCTTTGAACAACAGATCTGAGCCCTGTGATGTCCTGCACCATTCTTCTCATCCCTGACACACTCGGGCCTGTTACAGCGGTCACTGCGTCACTCTATCTTGTTGAGATTGTTCTTCTCTTTCACTGATTGGAGTGTCACCTTTCCAAGCATGATGTCCCTTTCTAAGGAAAAGCCTCTCTTAACAACATGTCCACAGTGTGTGAGTCAAAGCTTCATCATCCTTGCCTCCAAGGCTCTCTGGTTACACATTCTCTAAGTCATAACTGTTCCTGGTGGGGTTTTTTATTATTGTTGGTTTTTGTGTGCCTCTGTGTGTGTCCTGGTGCTTTTTGTTTTTCTTTGTTTTTTTTTTTTTTGTTGGGTTTTTTTGTTTTGGTTATTGTTTTAAAATCCAGGGTTCTTACTGGCTTCTTCCCATGATCATGGTAGATTCATAGATTCCATGGGATATTCAGTACTGTCCTCCAGAACCACAAATCAAAGGCATCAACTTTTCTGTCGTCCTCAATTGTTGTCCTGCTCTCAGCAGCATCACAAGTGATTGAAAAGATCATAGCTTAAATCAGGCACACCAAAGTCTTTAAACTGACATCCTGACTCTTTAGGCTTTTAGAGAACTCCCTGGCAGATGACTTTCCACTGCCTGTGCTCTTGATAGTCTGACCACTGTTAGGCTTAATTAAATAGAATTTCGTTTGTAAAATCTGGCCTAGACATAAGACACTTCCACAGTGTCTCTGGTTCCTTCCTGGGTCTCCTTAGTATAGTATTCATAGAATTTCACAACTGGAAGGGACTTAATGTGTTTAATTCTGTCTTCTTGATTTTTCAGACAAAAAACCTCATTTGAAGAGGTGTAGTAGCTTGTTCTGTGTTATGTAACAAAAGCATGACAAATCCATAACCAGAAACCAAACCTCTTACTTCTCAGTTTAATACACATCACACACATAGACCTTCTCTCTCTCTCTCCTTCCCTCCCTCTCCCTCTCTCTTTCCCTCTCTCTCTTTCCCCCTCTTTCTCTCTCTCCCTCTACCTTTCTCCCTCTCTCTCTGCCTCCCTCTCCCCCTTTCTCTCACCCTCTCCCTTTCCTTTTTTTATCACTATACCCCATTTTACAAAGTGGCAAGAAAAGCAGGTAAACGTTAATATTTCAGTATTCTGATCAGTTCTGGCTGATTTTAGCACTGCCTTGTCTAAAAAGAGCTCTGTGATATTGTTGTTAGGTGCTCTTTAGTTAAGAAAGACTCATAGCCACTCTGTGAACAGACCTGAACTCTGTCATGGCCAGTGCAATCCTTAACCTCTCCTATAGGCTTGAGCTCGTGCTGCAGTCACTATGTTATTCCACATCTGTGGGGTCTTCCTTTCTTTCACTGACCTTCCATCTTTCTAAGCATGATGGCCCTTTCCAAGAAATAGCCTTTCATAGAAACGTGTCCAAAGTATGAAGAAGGAGAGATGAAGCTTCACTCTCCTTGCTTCCAACATGCATGCTTATGGCACCTTTACAAAGACATAGTATTTATTTGTCCATTGGCTTCTTGATGTTATTGTTGTTGTTGATTGCCTTTGAGTCGAGCACGACTCATAGTGGCCCTATGAACAAAAGGCCTGAAGCCCCTCTATACCTGTGACATTTATCAAAATTCATGGTTTCCAGAGGCATGTTGTTTCGGAAATGGATTAGGCTTAATTAAACAGAATGATGATTATGTTGTAGTTATTTTAAATTATTTGTTCCTTTATTACACTTTATGTGTAAGAAAAACCCACCCAACAGCACCAAGGAATAAAGACCTGGTGATCTGCTTCTAGAAAGATTACAGCCAGAAGAATCTATTTCACTTTGCAATGAGCAGGAACTAGTTCAACAGGAATAGATGTTGTTTGTTTGGGTTTTTATGTTAAGGTATAGTTGTCAGCACATTTAGACATTTTTCCAACCAAGTGACTGTCCTGTGGGCCACATAAACATTTCGTGTGGTGCATTGTTACTTCTTTTGTTCCAGGAAAAATTCTCTTTGAAGTTTTATCTTGTGCTCCCCCCCCCCCATGATCTCTTTTGTCAGAAAATGGAAAATTTGAAACAGTGTGTTTTCTTTTCTGCCTTAAGTGCCAGGAAAACTCAGAGCCAAATTTTAGAAATAACCTTATCTTTGGAGCTTGGCAGCTTCAATGCTTGCTTTTCCTTCTAGTTGTTTTCTATTCTGTTTTTATCCTGAATTGACCTACTCTACATTTTTTAGGTGCTAAGCTCCTGAAAACATTCTTGGGGCAAGGATTGGGCATTTGTTTTCTTAGGCATTTAAGGTGACATAGAGTGTGGGCCTAGCAGCTGTAGTGAAAATCAGGGAACTCGTGACTTAGGAAGAAGGAGTTAGTTGCACTGCCAACCCGGTCCTGAGACCAGCCACACCCTGGGAGAAACAGGGGCAGTCACCTCCCCTGTGATTTTACTACCCCTGAAAACTTGCTGGAGGTTCACCTACAAGTCAGTTCCAACTTGGTGGTAGAAGAGCTGTGAGAGAGAAGTGCGATGGTTGCATCTTAGGGATGGAAGGCCAACAGGGAAGGTGCAGTGGGCATGGGAAAGGAGAGACGGCCGTGGAAAAGGAGTTGGGGAACATGGTTTCTGAAGATGCTTCAGTTCTACTATATTTCAGCATATCACAAGCTGAAAATGAGGTGTTTTAGGAAAGTCATTGATGGGTTTATCTAGCTAGACCCCATGATTTCCCACTTGACAGGCTGATTGGTTATGAGTCTGTTACCTGGAAAGATAAGCAGCATTGAATCACCTCTTGTTTGTGCAGTGCTATTCCCCAGTACAATTTATCTGTCTTGTGATTTGTCAAAATCACAATGTGCTGAAATCAGGGAAAAGAGCCCTTTTGCATTCTCGATTGAAGCAGCCCACCGTGATAATCTCTTTAGAGGACCTGTGAGGACCTGGTATAGGCTGGTCTGCACCATGCAGGTTTTTCTTACCCTCAGAACTTTATTGGAATATTTGTTCAGCTCACTTCTAGACAAAATGCCATGGAGTGAACAGAAGAAAGTGTATGTATATGTATATATATTTTTTTTTTTTTTCATCTCAAGTGATAGACTCCTGGTTGTCTGTTGATAAATCATGTGATCATGTGGTGGGTTTTTAAGATAATTGTATTGCTCAAGAAAAAGGTGTTCATTAATTTTTTTAATGCACAAAGAAATAGACAATTATAAAGAACTTTTCTTATTAAAGAATAGCTCGATGTTGTTTTCATATGTTTCTTGAATAAATTATCCTTTTCAACTGCAATACTTTTCAATATTTTGCCTTTGAAAGAAATTAACCCATGCTCTGTGAATTTTTAATAGGGAAGTGGCTTTTCAGAGAATCATAGAGGTGCAATATTTAGCTTTGAACACCAGTCTGTTGTCTGTTTTTAACGAACATACACACATGTATTTACTTACAAAGAATAACATACTTTATAGGTTTAACAGTTAAACATCATTAAATAGTCTTTTAAAACCTGATGTTTATATGACTCTAAAGTCAAGAAATTGCTCTTCCTCTGAAAACCTTTTTCATTATTGGAAAAAGTGCAAATGGGAGTTTGTAGATAACAATCCTGTTTGATCACTGAGCTAACATTAATTAATTACTTTTATTTTGAAGATTTAATTTATTAAGATTATATATCAGTATGCTTGTGGATGTTCCTAGCTATCAGTCTTTCATGTAGGCTCTAGAAAAAATATGGAAAATAAATTCTTTTTTGGTGAAAATAAATTTTAGTACCAATTTGTATGTGAATATATAATTAAATTGTTAAGGTATCAATTACTTGTAATTTTTAAGAGCTGGTGCTCATCTATGAAAGGTGACCGTTATGGACAGGTTTAGAAAGATTCTGTGCATTCATAGATCCTTTAAGGGATTAGTGTTAGACACACCAGTAGACACCCCAAATTGGGGTTACTCGATGGCAATTGCTTGGTTCTTGCTTTATACTTATAAGATATGCTTAATAACCAAGCCACAAAAGATTCTGGAGTGTACTGAGGGATTTTGCAGAATGCCATTTGTTAACAGTCCAATTAGAGCACATCAGACAAAGAATACAGATACTGAACTTAGTGAACCATGTTAATGATCTCAGAGCCTCCTCTTGATACTTCTTGGTGCATTACTGCTATTTAGACTGGGAGGCACGCATTGACAGCCATGGGAGGATCTTTTACGTGGATCATGTAAACAGAACCACAACGTGGCAGCGACCAACAGCTCCCCCAGCTCCACAGATGCTTCAGAGGTCCAACTCCATCCAGCAAATGGAGCAGCTGAACCGGCGGTGAGGATGGACACTTTCCTGCCAACCTAAACTTTTAAAATCTGTTGTTTTTTGAGAGCTAATTTTATGGAGCATATAGTTGCTATTTTTCTTAACAATATTAAGACTTAGTTTTCCCTTATAAAGGCCAAAATCTTGTCTTAAGTTTTGTGAGTATATAAAGAAAATGCTTAGCAAATGATGGCAAGAAGAAGTTACAAGCTATGGATTTTAATAGACAATACATGGCCCAGGAAGACCAGAGGGTAGATTGTTTAGCAGAGGGAGTTGGATACAATTGAGGCTGAGAAGATAGTGACAACTTAGGGGACTGTGAGGGAGGAGTTGAAGCCTACCTTTTAGAGTCTCCTATAATGTAACTCTAGGTTATGATTTCAGATACCAGAGTATCCGCAGAACCATGACTAATGAGAGGCCTGAGGAAAATGCCAGTGCTCTTGATGGGGCAGGGGAGGAAGCTGACTTTCACCAAGCCAGTGCAGGTAAGAATTAGTGAGTTGGTTTGCCGTTATGTTTTTTCTTTTTCCTTAATCTCATGAAAGTAGAAAGAATATAAACAAGGCTTTCCACAAAATGAAGATTTTTCTTTTAGAGAATTTTTGAACTTTGGGAAGATCTAGTAATCCAACTCCAAAAGCAGAATTCACTGGAGACTGCTTCTAATCTTAAAACAAATGTTGTTGTGTTTAGGGTTCATTGAGTCAGCCAAACAGAATATAAATTCTTTTCATCTCCAGATATGTGCAATAGTGGGAAAAAACTTCATCAATGAAAAACCATAAGGATGAATTAAAATACTGATAATGACTAGCAACAGTATTCAGTTTACTTGATAGTATAATTAAAGAGCTCTGGCAGTGCGTCATTTATGCAGATGAAATAATCTTTCTGGCTGAAAGAGAGGAGTACTTGAAACACTTGCTGCAGAAGATGAAGGACTATATATAGCCTTCAACATGGATTGCATCAAAACATCAAAATAACAAAGATCCTCATCCCCAGGTCAATACACAACATCATGATATATGGAGAAAGGACTGAAGTCAGATTATTTCTTCTTTCTTGGATCAAAAGTCAACACTCTTGATGCCAGCAGTCAGGGAGATGCATTATTTGGAGTAAGTCCACTATCAAGGACTTCTCCAAAATACTGAAGAGCAGTGATATACATTTGAAGACTAATGTGTGCCTAATTCAGGCTATGGTCTTTTCAGTCACTTGCTAAGCATGTGAGAACTGAACAGTAAATAAGTATAACAGAAGAATTGATGCCTTGAGCTGTGGTGTTGGAGAAGAGTCCTAAATATTCTATGGAATGTCAAAAGAACAAAGCTATATCTTGGAAAAATGAAGCTTGAGTGCTTCTAACAAGTAAAGATGATGAAGGATTATCTGTTATAGTTTGGGCATGTTGCTAAGAGTAGATGCCTTAGAAGGGTCATCATGCTTGGAAAGTGGAGGGCGAGTGAAATAGAAGACCTTCATTGAGGTGGACTGACAAAGTGACTGCAGTAACGGGTTCAAATGTTTTAGAGATGAGAAAGGCGCAGGATAGGACAGAGCTCAGGCCTGTTGTTTGTAGGGTCACTATGAGTTATACTCAACTCAGTGGCACCTAACAACAAAAACAACAGAGATGCAATTTTTCTGTGCCCGACTGTTAATAGGTTGATAGTTCAAATCCACCTAACAGCTCCAAGGGAGGAAGACCTGATACTTTGCTCCATGAGGAGTACAATTCAGAAAACATAATGTAGCAATTGTATATTGTCCAAAGGAGTCATTTTGAATTGAAATAAATGCAGTGACACCTAAAAAGAGCAGCCAAGTTTTATGTCTAAATTTTTGAAAATACTCTGATTAAAATAATAGCTAATTATTATGGACAATGATATAGGTAATTCTTGGGATCTTTTGAATATTATAAATTTGAATGAGTAGATGTATGTCCACCATGTGGAAAGATTCCTGTGAATATCTCTGTGGTCTGTTGCATGTAGATTTCCGACGGGAGAACGTGCTGCCCCACTCTACCTCCAGATCCAGGCTCACATTGCTGTTACAGTCTCCCCCCGTGAAGTTCCTCATCAGCCCAGAGTTCTTCACCGTGCTGCATTCTAACCCTGTGAGTATGGAATCTGAAAGAACAAGATGGACAAAGAAACAGACCAAATAAAGTGACTTTACCAATAAGAATCTTTACATCTAGCATTTGCTGAGCACTAAGATTTTTGTTAAGAATCACATTTATGTTTAGTCCAATGTATTCAGTCCAAACAAAACAGTAAATTAGACTAAAATGTCTCTTTTACTTTACATGAAGCACAGAGGAGTTAATTAACACCCTAATACTACTAAATGATATAATTTGGAATAAAATAACAGGGATGTAGACTCAAGGTTCTATCTTCTTAATGAAGAAACACAATTGATTGCCATCGAGTCAGAACTATCTCATAGCTGACCCTCAATCAGGTTTTCAGAGACTATAATCACACAAAAGAAGATTGTCCGTCTTTCTTCTTTGACTACATTATAAGCCTGTTGTTGTTGTTGTGTACCGTAGAGTCAGAGCCAACCCATAGCCGACCCTCCAGTGGATTTTCAGAGTCAGTTAATCTCATGGGAAGAGATTGTACAAAAATAAATAAAGTGCCTGAACATTAAAAGGAGACAATAGGAAGATTGGTTTTGAGATAATAGTGGCATTACCAGGTGAATTGAATTGCTAGCCTTTGGGATGGAAGCTAAGAACAAGCCATTTGTACCACGTAGGGGTATTTGAAAGAAAGAATATGAAATTTGTGTACTGAGGCAAACAAATCAGAGGACAGTAAGTCAATAAATTGGAGAGAATATCGACAATGCATGGTGTGGTGTGGGAAACCGGTATTTAAATTTTTTTTCAAGATTCACAATGAAAACTTTAGGGTGAAATTTAGGATCAGTAAGAAAAAGGAAGACTCTCAAAGGAGTAGATTGGCACAATGGCTCCAGCAATGAACACAAGCACGGTAAAATTGTGAGGAAGGTGGAGGACCAGTGTTTTGTTCTGCTGTGTTTCAGGTCCATATGAGTGGAAACCAAGTCAGTGACTCGTGTGTGTGTGTGTGTGTGTGTGTGATAGTAACGAATTTGTATTTATTTATTACTTTGTAATTTTTAAAGTTTGGATCATTGGTAAAGGGATTTTTTTTATGTACAAAATTTTCACAATACAAAAATATCATTAATAAGAATAAAACATGAAATTTCTTCATTGGAAGAAAATAGATACTTCTCTAACATGGAAAAGAAGCCGGTGAGAATAAGAGCCTGGGCTATTTTTGGCAGGTGCTGTAGAAGGGGCAAAATCACTGAGGATTAGCCTGATGGAACATCTTGCTACCACTGAGTCGATCCTGAGTCACAGCAACCCCATGGGACAGAGAGAATCACCCCACAGGGTCTCCAAGGCTCTAAATCTCTCTCTCTCTCTTTGTTTTTTTAGATTTTAATGAAAGCTTGTAAAGAACTTGGATTTCCATTCATTCATTGTTGCATATTTTTCTCCCTGTCCCCCGTCAATGCAACAAGAATATTTATGTTTTTCTCCTTTTGATAATGTATCTACTCTAGAAACTCTACTCCTCTGATTTTCAGTAGAGCACTGAAAATGTTCATTTCAGCTAAGAATATAAATCTTTTCATTAACCAGAATTAAAAAGAAATTTCTGCTTTTTATCCATTTTTCTAAATGTAAGTTATTTTTACTGTTTCCTTTACCCATTTACACTAGCCCTAAATTTTTTTAAATTTAATTTTATTTAATGAA